GTCTAATTACGTAATCGGGCGGAAAAATGTAACTCGGAGAAATCGCGGGGCCCGTTTGAGGATGACGCAGCACAGGGAGAAGAGATGACTTTTTACTACGAGGGATATATTATTAAAGATTGGGGCGGTCCATCTGCCCACGTATCAGAGTGGTTGGATACTATTCTCCGCACTAATCCAGTGACCACACTTTACACTAGAGGCAGCTATAATACTCAATTATCAGAAGCCCTCATCGCATTCATGGAGCATGACCTACTTGAACCAGAGGTAGGTTACTCACAGAAACAACGTGCAATTCAGCGTTCGCAGAGCCGCAGGCTTACATGAACTATGTAGATACACTATATACGTTCTCTCCTTAATGCAAATAGCGTGGACGAAATCATTCGCGGCGAGCCATTATTGGTGAATTGCGGCTACGCTACAGGTCGGCCTGAAATCTATAGGCTAGGACCGTACGGATACGACCGAAACAAGACAATTTGCATGATACGGTGTGTACGGGGAAGTGTTCGATTTTTGCTGTACGAGAAATCGCATGCGGGTCCTATAGAGGGGACACTACGTGCAAAGCAGCAGGAGCTACACGAAGGCATGGTACTCTTTATGCTCTCGGATATGTGCTTGGGTTGGCCCACTGAAAGTAATGGTTTATTTGTCCTACAGACCTTTTCCTGTGAACGGCAGCACCTCATAATTCAGAGAGATGACATCCCTGTCAAAGTAGTGCCATTCCATGCAACACCCCTTATTAGAGAGCTTGAGAGCAGTCTAGAACGTCCATAGGCTGCAATTTTATCCGACAGTTCACCGGTTTTGTCTGTGCTGATCTATTATAGCCGCGTAATCGTTCCATAGCGCGAGGGCCTTAGGTGCGTAATGCTTGAGTTTTTCGAATGACTCACTAGTCCGAAACAGGACACAGAATGGCCCAATTTGTTCGAATCTCACAGCCCTCAGTCGTTTGAAGGCAAAATACATGCTCTTCGATAGGCCCGGAGTTTCCATTTCCGCCTCTATTGCACGCGCTTTCTGCGTGACTTGAACTATATCTCGAAGCCTGTTATAATCCATCCCATGCTTGTCTGCGTATTTACGGAGCCCTCCCTGAGAGTTGACTCCTCGGTTTTCCCGTACCTCCCATAATTCCGTAAAGTCCGAGTTCGGATACTCCTCGTAGTATTTATCGGTTATCCATTGTGATTTGAGCATAAAAAGGAACATGTCCGCACTATCTGCGTTGCGCTGTGGCCACCATACTTGATTGGCTAGAGTGGGGTTTACTTCAGCGATCAGGTAGGCACGATCGCGATCAAGGAAATGGAGCGAGTGTTGATTTTTTTCTATATAGTTTAAAAAAATGCGGGGACCTAGAGCTCCTTGATCGTCCGCTATCGCTTCCATTCCGTTCGTAGCGTTCCTAGACTGTTAGCATGGCCACGTAGATCGCATACCAAAGCATCTATTCACGTACAGGACCAGTATCGCCGACTATACTTGGATTGCACGGATCCTTGGGGTATACGTTCCCGGATGTGTCGTGCGAGTGCCCCGGCGCTTAGCGCACCCTTAGTGGGGCCAGACAGTCATGGTGGGTAGCCGAGACATGTGAATCAGCCAATCACTATGCATACTTTTCGCTGTCAACAATGTATGGTATGGATCACGTATGGTACGTACCGTGCCCAGTCACGCTGGTGATGAAAGACTTGGTAGAGCCCGGATAATCTAGCTCCAAAAGTTATTCGAATCTGATAGGCTCTGTTTCGGATCAAAGACAAGTGTCTGGTCGAGGTCTAAAACTATCGTATTGTTTCTGAATCTGCACCGAGCATGTGACTGACAAGGCTGGAACAATACACGCATCCGTAATTTACTGTCTAAATCCACCATCTTCCTTCCAACCGTGCTAGATATTATGTACGCATAAAGTGAATCTAATAGCATTAAATCGTTGCAAGTCTCATACTTACGAATTTTGTGCACTAGCAAAGAGCCGAAAGGCGGAGCCAGACGAATCCGGTGGGCTTGCGAATCCGGACTAGGCAGATTCACACCTAGTGCAGGTCTGTCACCAAGGGATTCGCTAGGCATAGTGTCGCTATCTACGGAATACCGAGGAAGCCCATATCTCCGTATGCGGAATACGTATTCGCGAGACCTACCGTGTCTGGCCGCATTTTGTAACAATGGTACTGCTTAATTGGCACAATGCTTCAGTGGGCCATCTTAGAACTTATATTAATGTTGTTTTGGATTGGTGGATGAGCGTACGTTATTTTAGCAGCAATTTGAATACGTACACTGCTTAAATATAGATATGTCAGCCTTGCGGCCCTTACCTGACCATCGCCATTCAAACAAAGACCGAATGGCGGTGAAACCATATCACTGAAAGCCCGATTGGACCGCAAGGCTCGGAATGCAGGAGGTCTGCTAAAACCCTGGCTCCTATCAAGCCAAAGGAAGTATTGTTATTTCTCTTCTACCGCGCCCTCGACACTTACACAACTATTATATAAATTATAGACTATTAGTTGGGCTAGTTCCGGAGGGATTGATAAGTTAATACACTTACCGCGCTAAATGGAATGTTATCACTCCGCTGGTTAGATATTAGCTGAATTTCATGGTTATGTAGAGCGATAGGTGAGAAAATAGCAAAAAATCGGTTATAATTTGGGCCTCCGCTATGAAGGCAGGGGTATCAGATCTTCCCTTAAAAGCTAGAAAATCGGGATTCAAATTTGGTTATTACCGTTAGCAGTTTGGTACCTGCCTGTGGCAAATCAGCAAGGCCTAGGCTACAATCAATGCGGACTCGGTTAGAGGATAACGAACACCTGCGACTGGCATTGATAGAGAACCAGGTTTTACCTAGGTCAAAGTAGAATGATCTTGGCAGAAGTCTACTACTGGTCGTGTATACCACGAAATAATCGTTCTTAATATGCATTAGTTCTTAATGAATTTAAAACTTGGAAGCCAATGGAAACTGCTGCTCAGTCTAATTTGACACCGAGCCCTAGCTCCAGTAGAGGTTGTACCAAAGCATTCCTGAATTGGCACGCAATTCAGAAGGTTCATGGCTACAGTACTATGCATCTAGTCTTGTCCACCCCGCAGCGAGCGAGGCCTCTAGACTAGGTCAGAACAAAGAAAAACCTGAATGGCACGCGGGTGCGATTGGCTGGCATGATATAATCATTATATTCCCAAGGTATAAGTATTTAGAAAATGTCGCAAATACGAATTTAATAGCTGTGAGACGCAGCTTTAGCTCGTGTGTGCTAAAAAGTTGTTTTCGATCCGTTGGTGATTTCTCTGTCTGGCCGGTTCTTGGTATTTTCAATATTCCTCTTTCAAGTTTGACTGGCACCTGAGCCAGCTTATTATTCTTATTGGGCCCCGGGATATTCGGGAAATCCTAGAGATATACAGTCGACACATTTTGCTATGATACAGAACGATAAAATTGAGTGCCAGCCACAACTAGAGGGATTCCCGCCAGTTGATGAATTTGAGGATCTGATAACAAGGTGATAACCTAAATTACCAGAACTTTTATATTCTGAGCTTATGATCTAGGTAGCTTTTCGAAAAAGCGAGGCGAGACAAGGCGTTGATCACTGCCAACATAGCTGATAAAATCCGCGCTGCTCTAATAAATTCACGGGACATTACCATCAAAACACCTCAATTTAGGTGCGTACTACTTTTCTAACACTGTGTGCTCTGCCAATTTCCATGTTATCCATGCTAAAACATAATTTGACTAGATTTTGGGCAAGGAAGACGTTCAAGCTTAGCTGTGATGGATGGTCAATATGTTATAAAGGGAAACGAGTGGCAATTCGAGAAAACCTATTTCAAATATTAACCCACGCACACCGGCAATGTGGACATGGAGGTCGCGACAAGACATCACGGGAAGTGCATAACACATATTCTCGGTAAGATGGGTCTAATAACCCCCCTCGTCCATCTGCGCAACAGACAGAGCAGGCATTCGTATATAGTCTTTTCTAACCATATACTGTTGTTAGGGTACCGCAAAATATCGTAACTATCTTCATCAGAATATGCCCAACTTGCCAAGGCCGTGGCAGGCGCTTACCTATTTTGCGTCCAAAACAGGAAGTCCAACTTCCACAGAGTTAGCTCAACATCTTGATTTAAATTGCTCAAAACTGGCAATCAAATCAGCGCTCAATTCCCGAGGCTACTATCGTTATATTGCACGCCGGAAGCCTCCTCTTTCTTCAATCAATAAAGCTAAACGACTTAGGTGGGCTCAAGAGCATATCAATTGGACATACAACGACTGGAAAACTATACTATGGACAGATGAATCTTGGGTTCTCGGAAATCGGCATACTCGTACTTGGATTACACGACGGAAAGATGAGATATATGATGATATGTGCGTCGTTGAACGTAGGCCTCGAGGCAAAGGATGGATGGTTTGGGGAGCCTTTTTTGGAAATGTAAAAGGCCCTTTTATAATCTGGGAAAAGGAGTGGGGGACAATCAACTCAAATACATATTGTCAGCATATATTACCTTCAATTCGAGATTTTATATCTCAATATCCTCATCTATCACTTATGCAAGATGGCGCACCTGGCCATGGGGCTCAAGCAACGCAAAATAAGATACGGGAATATGGAATTAATATGATATATTGGCCCCTATACTTCCTAGATTTGAATCCGATTGAAGTGGTATGGGACTGGATAAAGGACTTCCTCTAGGTAAATTTCCGAGATCAGATGAGCACTATTGAACTAAGAATAGCCTTACAAGAGGCATGGGATGCTGTTCCGGAGGATTTTTTGGTGGAATTAGTAGAATCAATGCCGGAGCGCTGCAAGGCTGTAGTTGAAGTTGGTGGTGGATATACGAGGTTTTGAGCGTGTATTTAACTAGTGCGTACTAAATAGGAATAGCGCCTTGTGGAGACTACTAACATTATTTCCAGGGAAGGAGGAGTATATTAGGATATACTGGTCCGCAACGCCATGTTATAGTGAATAGCTTCATTAGTACCGATGGACGGAAGGGATTCGACCCTCTCAGGCGAAATATCTTTTCATGAGACGCGTGTAGCAACTTATATCGACCTAGTTTTGACCCCTTCGTTTCTGGAAAAGTTCTATATCACGAGTGGCTAGTTCATTAGGAATCCATGGGATTGTACATGTGTTAGGCCGTATTCATAGGGAAGTGGATGAAACGTACATTAAGAAGACATTCGTAACAGTACACATAATATCCGTGACAGCCGGAAGTCACGCCACCCAGGTGGACAACGTGATGCCTCCAGTCAGCGACTCACACATGCATACGAAGAAGGTTCCTTGTAACTAGGATTGTTTCTTTTCTCAAGCTTCAGCCTCTGTACATTAGGAATAGTACCTTTGTCAATGAACATCCCCGAAGACACCGAACGACCTTCTGCCATATTGATAATTCCTCCTGCCTACCCAACGGACCAACCTCCTACCACAGCTCAATACGTACACTGGTTAAATATAGATATCTCAGCCTTGCGCCCTCGCCTGACCGTCACAATTCAAACAAGGGCGAATGGCGGTGAACCACTGGACCGCAAGGCCTGGAATGCAGGAGGTCTGCTAAAAGCCTGGCTCTTATCGAGTCAGAGACAAGAAGTATGTATTGTTATTTCTGTTCTACCGGGCCCTTGAAACTTACACAACTATTATGTAAATTGTAGACTATTAGTTAGGCTAGTTCCGGAGGAATGGGTAATTTGATAATAGTTGTAGAATGTGATTGGTTGGCCCCTCGTAAGCTACCAGAAATTTGCCAACCCCGTAGTGAATAACCTAAATGGTTGTGACAACCAACATGCCTGTCCAATCTCTTAGGGTTGGATTGATACGAGAACAGAGTGCGGATACTTCAGCTGGTCATGGACTATGTAAACTGCCAGCCTTGTCTTCTATGGGTATTGGTGATGACAAGGGTTGTGGCCAATCAAATGAATGAACCTCCCTTCTCTAATAAGAGAGATTTTGGATTGAAATTAAGAGCTTTACTATCTACATAGTAGTGCAGAGCTATGCGCGCTACTTCAAAGGATATTTTATGCACTGCTATTTCTGTATCTAGGATAGGTATAATAATCCTGTCAACACTGCATTCTAGCTAGTCGAACACGATTAGACCAGTATTCTATACATAATAAGTTAGCGCGATGGCTCCTTAATAAAGAAAAGTGTACGCACCACCCTGCGCTATTAATGGTCAAAGTTCTATAAATTACAGTCAATTGAAACTTTGTGTAAATTTGATGTACTAATTAATAAAGTGAGTAAAGTGTGCACTGGTTTTGCAATACTCTCTGTACACTAGATACCTTAAGAATTTGCCAGTGATATGTACTGTGTATACATGAAACGCTCGCCAATACAGACTCATCCTCCGGAGTCAATTGGGCACTATTCACTACTCCTGAACCCCCGACCAGTGCCGTTTATTTAGCACTCCAACATGGACAATGTAAACCTATCGACGAGGAGAAATGTGTAAGGATCGGAGATGAAACTGCAAAACTAACCAAAATCCGGAAGTAAGGACTGCGTCTACGTTTATGAGAGCTTGAAATGTAAGGTTCTTGATAGATACTAACCTTCGAGCCGAATTTTTCTTCTTTGTCTGGTGTTTACAGCAGACTTGACAATTCCACGATTCAATAAGACGTGAACTTCGCCTTGCTTTCCGGTGCAGAGGATATCTCGAGCACTAGATGCAACAGTAATAGAGCGGATAGAAACTGTTCAGGCATTCACTATTCCACCATGGACAAACCGGATACAGACGATATGCGAAAAGAACAGGGAAGGAGCCTGTGAGATAGCGAGCAAGGCAATAGGCACCCTAATTGCTACAAGCACATATGCTAGATCAGGAATGGCGGGTATGGGAGGCTATATAAGAGACACCCAAGCAGGTAACAACGGGATCGACATATCTAGCTACTCCATCATCCTAGGCAAAAGGACGGAGCAAAATCCCTATACAGCAAAATTAGAAGCGATGGCTGCAGCACTGTAACGTATTCCATCTGGGTCACGTCAGAGATGGATATCCATTCTTAGTAGCAGCAGATCAGCACTAGCAGCAATCAGCCAACCCCGTTAACAATCCGGCCAAAGGATGATCCAGCAGATATACAATCTAGCCCAGATCCTGCAACGGCAAGGAGACGCGATCAACGCAATTTGTGCCCCAGCGCATATAGACATGGACTGGAAACAAAGAGCAAAAGCGGAAGCACAGAAATCAACAGGGAGAGAATGTCAATCAGGAAAGCAGTAGTTCCAAGCCAAAGCAACAGCCATCAAACCTGCTATGGATACAACACGCCAGGACTGGACTCTCCCAGAAAGCATAGGAAAATACTCAAAAGCTATCGACAAGGCGCTTCCAGGAAAGCAAGTTAAAGCCTATATGATGGATTAAATCGGAACGAAGCAAAAACTGTGGTCCAACTTCGGACAGGAATGTCAATGCTCAACAGCTATCTGAATAAGATAGTATTAGTAGACTCTGATCTCTGTACTTGTGGCCAAGAAAGCGAGACAGTGAAACACTTCTTATTCCGGTGCACAAAGTGGACAGCAATGAGAGATAATATGAGCCAGTGGACAGAGTCAAAACGAGGAAATACATCCTCCTTCCTAGGCGGAAAATCACAGTCAGAGCCGGATCGATGGCACCCAGATATGAAGGCTGCCCATGCAACAATTACCTACGCGATGGCAGCAGGAAGACTAGAACACGAACCAGAACTAAATCCTGACACAATGAATCATGAGGCATTCCTACCCTCCCCTATCTCCCTCCCTTCTTACTTCACAAGTAGACCTTGCTACAGCCGCCGAAGAATGGACAGCGCACACTTGGAGAAAATAACCTTTAAGATCGTCTACCAGTCACACTTCTAAGTTCTAACTAGGATACCCCCTCCAACACCACCAGCAATGATCGAAGATTTGAAACACCAAGCACCGTGATACAAACACAAAAATAGTGGGCTATCGCGAGTTTATGTCGGATGACATGTTGTTCTGTGGCATTACACTAACCATAGCCAGCTAAACATTGACCATAGCCAGCTAAACCTTAACCATGACCAGCTAAAGTATCCACACTTTTGCCACTTTCTGTTTTCATCAAACTAATCCTAAACCCTTAAGAGATTGGATCATATGTTGGTTGTTACATTGTCTGAGTTGTCACGATGCGGCGTAGTCAACTATCGTACAAGTCATGGATTCATTCCTTAACTATCTCTCTATGGCCGTCTATAAATATGATACGGCTTGTAACAAGCTATCTATTTATACCCCTTCCAAAACACTTCTGTCTCTTGCACATAGTCAGTACGTTCCAGAGGCAATTCCCAGTCTCCTCGGTGGGATTCTGCTATAGCGAGATAAGGCCCCATCGTTTCTTCTAAATTTTCACGGGGTGTCCCGGGAAAGTGGACAAGTAGATCCCCTCGGTGTATTTGTAGATGCTGAGGAGATTTGGGGCTGAGCCCTTCTCCATCAGGCAGGGCCATATACGCGTTGAACCACCGAAGTGGGCAGTAAACGACGGACTTGGCAAAATAGTCATTTGTGTCCAGTATGTTTCCCAAGGCGGACTGATCTGGCTAAAATAGCTCGACATTTGGATTCATAACTGGGTATGCTAGTGCAGCTGACAGTAGTTCAACTGACCAAGGATGGACGCGGATAGGAAACACCCCGTTATTCATGCCATTCCAATCTTTGGTGAGTAACAGGTGGACATTTAAGACGTCGGGTGGAGGTAGAAATGTCTCCAGTGGTAGGTTAGGATTCATGAGTACCGTGTCGGCATCGGTCCAACTGGATAGATGAAGTCCAATCAGCACTACAACAATCTCAGGCTCCTCCTACTAGGCAGGTATTTAGAAACTCACAATAGCCATTGTAATCGTCGCTCCGCGGGCTTCTCCAATTCCCGTAATAATACGGAAAGTAGAATGGCATATTTATTCCAGACTCCATCAAGAATCGGTCTTCGCAGAATAAAATGAGGGTAATCAAAGCGACGGCTGTGTACTTTGTGCGTGTTCACAGCCCTCTCGTAAATCGAGTTGTTGCCGTACACCATTGTCACTTTGCCAACATTTGGTTGCGGTTGACGCACCCGTCGTTCTGTAATGTTTGCTGTGAGAAATGAGTCAGCCGAAGGTTGATTTTAGTAGATATTGCTGTAAATAGACGTACGATAATGTAGATAGAGTTTGAAAAGCCAGTAGATTCCGGCTAAGACTACTCCCAAACGCAAAAATGTTCCAAACTTAGAGTGCAGGCGTCGATCTGTGTGTACGGTCATGATGGAATGTTTTGAATATTTGCTATCCATGGATTTCACTTTGAAAACAGTGGCAAGTCATATTTTTAAGGGGCGTGAAAAGGGATTAAAAAGTTTGGATGAAATGCACGGCGCCAAAATCCCAACCCCAGCAAACAAAAACAAAGCAGAGGTTTCGTTACTGTAAGTGTGTGTCAGGCTCTATACTCCAAAGATTGGCTATTGCCAAATCTAGCAAGAATTACGGTGCAGTGAAGTAATCAAGTTACATGTAACCCAGTGGAGAACCGCGAATCCCATATCAACATTAGCTTGCGGCTGAACAAGGACTTATAAACGAAGGCTTGCACTGACATAAGACAATACTGCTTCCCCTGCGAGTTCCGAGAGCAGGACATTAAACCATGGTGGTTTAGGGTTGTCACATCTCAAAAAGGTCTACCAGCTCCTGGTACTTTCAGTAGTTTTGGAAATCCTCATGGGAACGAAAAGCAATTGCATCGACATGACCATTGGGTGGCATATGCCTTCCAACATCCGCGATAACCTTGGAAGATCTAACCTTTTCTTCCTTTGGTAACAACTGCAGCAATGAAATGCGCCAACTGCATATTTACTGATCGGAGTAAAGGTCGATCATACTATGCAGTGTCACTATTGTTGCCCAATCCTACAGCTTCTAGCCTATGTCTAGTCAACATCTCAAGGACAACTTTTGACGCTGTTGTGAGAGGAGAAGGAGAGTTTTTCTCGAAGGAAGCCTCCCGTCAACCCAATCAGAAATCTCTGTCAGTCTTGTGACCTTTTCATAGCAGACTAGGATCACCGCAAAAACCCCAATCTGACCCAATCGCGCTCGGGAAAACACCAGATTGTGACAACTGGTCAAAATTCCAGTTCATGATTGCTTTATTTGGTTCCGTAAGAGCATGATCGAAGAACATCGCGGGAGAAAACACTGCAGTAACGCTATGCTTTTTAAAACATTGGAGATCATCTGAAGTGCCTCGTTAGATCCTTGTATTTGGTAAATAAAGCGGGAAAGATTTTGCCTGGGTATCTGCTGTTACAGTGGGCTATCTCGTGCCTGATTCTCCAATTTGTGGTATCTGCTTTTCTCCCTACCTCTATTGCCTCAAAAGTAAGTCCTGTGCTGCCTCGACTAGTTGCATCATGGGTTGAATTCCCTGATGGCTTCGACGACATCATTTGTCTTATTCAATGTTTCGAGCACTTGAAAATAAAGGCGGTAGTGTCTCGCCGTCGAGGGAAATCTTAACAAAACTTGTATGCACACGTTCCATCGCAAGTTTAGGAGTTTGATCAATCAGATGCTTTGAATAAGTCTTCTCGCTCATTGGCAAGAAACTCGGAAGCGTAAACATAGTGTGCTGCAATATCGAGTTTAAGGGTACTAACCTGGTCTAGTTCACGAAGAGCTTGTGGAATGACAGTATTAGTTGCTGCCTCTTGACATGAAGTCACAACACTTGGTGCAAGCGCCATACTACCTCGGTGATTGCTCGTTTTGCGTGGGCCATATTTGGATTCCCCTTCGCCAGCATTGCCTTATTCTTAGCCAGCTCTCCAAATTCTCCTGTTAGACTACCGTCAGGGCGATGGCCAAATTTGGCGCTTTTGACATCCAGCTCGTTGTCAATGTCATAGCCAGATAAGTTAGTCCGGCAATGTTGAGAAATGCACTGTGGCCAGCTCCTTCCTATATCATGATTGGTATATCTGGGAAATTTTTGTCAAGCGAGGCGCGACCAAAATCGGGAATAGCAAAGGTATTGCCTACAATCCGTCTTGAAAGGCATGCTGATAAGCACAAGCTCACTGGTCTTCCTGTATCCGAGCCCCGATTTTCTCTATCGTGGTATCATCAGCTAGGTTAATACCACTTAGATACGATATACCCTGTAAAAAGTAGATGAACATGTGCATCGTGAATTCCTGGCATGAATACAACCATAAAGATTGTATGTAATGATGCCATAAGCTCTCGCAATTCGGAGAACCTTATTCCTTATTCCAACCATCAAAAATATGCCTTGCAGCGTGACAATGAAGTCCTTTGCTACCTGGCCGGAATCGTTCAAGGTATAAACTTTGCCATTATAACAAGCGACTAATTGTTCAGTAGCTATAGTCATTGTTCAAGGGCGAAGAAGTTAGCAAAACAGATTGGAATTGGGGGCCATTTCAAATCAAGCAGGGTATTTCTAAGGAAAGAATACCAGGTAGTGTTAACATTCTTTCGCGTCGAAGTCCTGTGAAACGTCTGCAATGAAAAGCCCCTGGGTGAGCTCAACTTGGTGATGCCTTTTCTATGGAGGTTTATTTATAAAGGATCCAAGATTCCAGACAACAGTGTTTAGAGAGGACGGCCACACATATACAGAAAATTTCATATTGTTATTGTTAATGTATTCATCCTAGTGTAACCGCGCTTCGACATTTGTGTTAGATTGTACGTAACAATCTCAAGCAGTATATCTCAACACATCAAATTATGTATGCAAGAGTATGGAATCCTTGATTCTTGTTGTCCTTGTTCTTGTCTCTAAGTGCAGTAAAGGTGGAAGATATCTTTTTACCCCCTATTCGGTGTATTTCCGGTCCATTCCATTGGCTTACAAACTTTATTAAAAATGATAATGGAGATATTCTATGATAAAAGCAACGTTGATAGCGAGTGTACTCTCAGCCATAATGCTATCCTTATGGGTATAAAACAGGATCATACCGATCCTTTTCATTATTCGGAACAGCTTGCCATGCAATCGGTCAATGCACGCGTTTTGGCACGGTTATATATAGTTATTAAGGCAGATGGCCGTTCTGTTGATATACAAAATAGAGCGCAGGTTAACATCTATTTTGAGAATCTTAGTTTTCCAACAATGCTCTGGTATATCTTAATTGTTCGTGAAACAATATTCTCACCATATGAGCTATCTAATAAAGCAATTAATATGAAAAAGGGTCAAAAGAGAACATCAGTTAAGAAGGATAAGATTAATGAACATACTATAGTTATTGAGACGCTTCTTGGGGAATCTTCAGTTACCAAGACCGGGGATAGAAAGGATACAATCAACTATATATTTGATAGGCATAAACGCGTTATCTAATACATAGAAACTTATTATACCGTACATTTAGAGAGGCCATTCGGTATGGTGATATTAGTCATATTCGACAGCTTTATCCTGGCTTTGCCCTTCTCTTTTTCGGTGGGAATAAGATTAAATATATCATCTTATGACTATACATGACATGGCTTACCGGGAAAGGTGCTGCATCACTAGAACTTCAAGAAGCCATTTTTGCCAATAGCCTGGTCAATACTCAAGGTGTCAATGACAGTTGGTATGAGATTGATCGGTTGAATGAGTTCCTGAATCTAGTGATGAAGCGGATTATGGTTAGTTAACGGATGTCATCACAGAGCCTTGAAGATTTATTCCGTTGAACTGCTTTAAACTACAGAGTGAGATTGACTATCTCTCAAGTCGACTGGTGAGCTCTAAGCACACGCTTAAACAAGCTACTCTTGATATATATGGACTGGCTATGATGTTATATGAACTGCAGCCACTACAACAAATGGAGGGTGGTCGCGATGCTGGGTTTATTCCTAAGTACTTACTTGCTATATCTGCTGGTGTTCTTATTAGGAAAAAGGTTGATATATTTTACCAGAAACAAGTGGCAGACCAGCGCTTAACGAGCCAGCTCATACTCCAATTGCTACGTTGAATGAATTTACTGCCAATCTGGACGTAGTTGATAGCCAGGATGTAAACTGAAGCCAATACTTCAAACCGTCAAGTGGTTATATGCTACGCTTTGGTGGTATAACGAAGTTGTGTAAGGTCTTTGAAAGTCGTGGACGCATAGTCTGTATATTTCCACTCATTTCTTGTTTGGCTGGTAGGAGGTTCTTCGGAAGACCATATATAACTGACCGTCGTATATCAGGTATGTTGACTCCGATACCAAGTACCTCAGTTGCAAATACCACTCTAATAGATTATTCGATATAGCAGTCTTGTTTTATACAGTTGAATTGCCCATGGTTCTGGAGAAATTCCACCATACAATCACGCGCTGAGAATAGCTCTCTTTTAGAATCAAAAAAGACAACCATTTTAGGAATCTAATTTGGTTCAATATGCAATCGATCTTTATGCTGAGCATTGGTGTCAAATAGAAATTGTAGTGCCATAAACTTTGCTCGTTATAGACGGGGTATTATCCCAATCCGATATACCAGTTCTGGTCGGTCAATTGATGTACGTTATACATATAATAGTATTTTCTTTGAATCTCCCCCATTCCATCAGAACCTCCAATGTATGAGAACCAAGTGTTGCTGAGCAGGCGAACCAAGGGATATGAGGGCCTAATATTATGCGTAGTCGACCAACTTGTGCATATTGAGGCCGGAAAGCATCACCTCAATGATGAACTAGATGTGCTTTATCAATAACAACAGCAGTAATACGTCAATCAATTTCAGGGTCCTCGAACACACGTCGCATCTGTTCATTCGCTGCCAATTCAGGGCTTAATAAAAGGTGCGTGTATACCTCTTTCTTGATATCGATCAACAAGCCGGTTTTGCTGGTATCTTTCTCTATAAAAAGAGGATAACCATCTAAGCATTTTATAGCTTCGGATTGCTCAATGCCTATATAAATTAACGGAAGAATGACGATTATCATTGTTCTATCTATTAGTATTGACAACGCCTGAGGAATCATGCTCTTGCCAAATGAGGTCTTTGCGATCAGAATCAAGTCACCCCGGTTAAATATAAGCTGGAAGAGTGCTTCTAATTGCCCAATTTGAGGAGGAAATGGATAAAGCAGTTCCAAAGCTTTAAAGAGTGCAAGTTTTTGTGTATTAGGCGCCTTACTAGTCACATCGCTGGGCTTGCTGGACTTTGGCTGCTAGATCTGGTTAACTCGAGGCTCTAGAGATACCGGAGGAACTTGGGAAGACTTCTGAGG